AGCACAAGTTTTCTTTCTCCATCTTATTCTCTAAAAAGTTCGATCAAACTTGACTTCTTTAACATTTTTTGTTTGTATTTATGATGTTCAATATGTTGATGACATTTTCCCAAATTTATCCTTTCAGGACCCAACTGAGCAGGCACAACTTGACAACTTCATGGTTCAACAACTTGATGGAACCGTTAACGAGTGGGGATGGTGCAAGCAAAAGGTATGGTTTGGGCTTTCATTTGTCAATACAGCGTTCTGCATGTTAACCATGATTTTTTTGAACGAGAAACTGAGTTAATTTCTACTAATGATGTACCATTCAATTTTCAGCTTGGAGCAAATGCCATACTAGCAGTGTCTCTTGCTGTCTGCAAAGCTGGTGCTAGCGTGAAAAAAATTCCTCTGTACAAGGTATTTTATTTTTTAAGGGTCAGAACAACAGTGACCAGTAACTTGATGAGTACATTCGTCTGAAGTTTTCGTGTCTTTGCTCTGACACTGATTGGATGTTGGTTTTGAGAAAATTTTTTATTGTATAGGTTTCTATGCGGTAGGGAGTGGATATTGATAATATTATTGCTGTCAAAATCCAGACTAGTGTATTACAATTCCTGTTTGAAGTTTGATGGGTACAATATTTATATATTGGTGGACTTTTTTGGTGCAGCACATTGCCAACCTTGCTGGTAACAAGAGCTTGGTTCTTCCCGTGCCTGCATTCAATGTCATTAACGGTGGATCGCATGCAGGAAACAAGCTTGCAATGCAGGCATGCTTCTTTCATCTGGCTTTTCTCCCATCTATTTACGTGTTGACAAATCTAGAGAGTGTTTATAACAGATCATGTCTACAGGAGTTCATGATTCTACCAGTTGGAGCTTCTTCATTCAAAGAGGCCATGAAGATGGGAGTGGAAGTTTATCACCATTTGAAGGTTGATTAAAGTTTTTCGTCCACATTACTTTTGTAATGAACGTCATTAATATGAGCATTTTTCTTGAACGATTTAATTTTTTAGCCAGTCCTCATTTCTAGAGATTTTTGCTATAGTCTTTATTTTTTATGTCTTAAATTTGTTCATGCTTTATTCCTGTGACGCTTCAAAAAATCAGATTGCAGTCCACCTTTTGATTTGAAACTATGATTCACTAATATTGATGCATGTATTCCTCTGTTTCATCAGTCTCTTCACCTGTCTCCGTGTTGCTTTTGTGTCAAATTTAAACCATGACGGGTCTCATTTTATCATTATTCTCAAGTCATCCATTTTTAATATCATTACAACTTATGTAAAACTTGATGTGCTAAATTGCAGTCTGTCATCAAGAAGAAGTATGGACAGGATGCAACAAATGTTGGTGACGAAGGTGGATTTGCTCCTAACATTCAGGTAGGGACATCATCAAGAAAGTATTATGTCGTTGCTTCCTTTGCTTCTTATGAAAAATATAATTTTTCCATCTATTTTTGCTCCTCAGGATTTTCATTATCTTTCATTTTTCTATTTACATCTTTGCTTGTCGTATTCACCAGGAGAACAAGGAAGGCCTTGAATTGCTCAAAACTGCAATTGCTAAAGCTGGTTACACTAACCAGGTTAGTTTCTTCCCCGTTTACCGTTCATGGTGGGCTGCCCACTAGCGGGAGATTCGAAGGATACTTACTTTCTCTTATTATGTTAGGTTGTAATTGGAATGGATGTTGCTGCATCTGAATTTTACGGATCAGATAAGACCTATGATTTGAACTTCAAAGAAGAGGTAGGTTTTCATTTACCATATAGCTGTGGATTTGTTTTCCCGGGTTAGTGATAATTAAGGCTGTTACTGATTTTCATAACCTAGACATGTTAGGTCATGTAGGATAATCTTCTCATAACTAGGTGTGTGTTGGTGCATTATGCAACTACAATGACTTAACTTCAGAGAGGTAGAATTGGAAAAATTTTTTTTGGTCAAATCATTGCTAAACAACTCAAGAAGTTGAGTGAATCTGAAATCAATTGACAACGCAAAAAACATTTTTAAGGCAAGAAACTGCAAAGCGAATCGCCATAGTTGGCTGAATATGTGCCAAGCTGCATACCGGTGGTAGTTTCAAACTTTAGAAAGTAATTGTCTATCATGTGGTCCTGTGTATTAGTTATTTGGTTAAATGCGTCTGTGTGCGGTACATTTCTTAGTTTGTCCACCATTGCCAGTTAATATGTTTTTGTTATTTTATTGGTGCAGAACAATAATGGCTCACAGAAGATCTCAGGAGATGCTCTTAAAGATCTCTACAAGTCTTTTGCCTCTGAATATCCTATTGTGTCTATCGAAGATCCATTCGACCAAGATGACTGGGAGCACTACGCGAAGATGACCAGTGAAATTGGAGAAAAAGTACAAATTGTGGGAGATGATCTCTTGGTTACCAACCCCAAGGTAAGAACGGGATTTATGGTGTAGAAAAATACAATACTATTACATATTCTTCAACCCTATTCCTGATCTTTCTCTAGATTGTTAATATTTACTTCTCTGTTTTTCCTTTTTCACAGAGGGTGGAGAAGGCAATCAAGGAAAAGACTTGCAATGCACTTCTTCTCAAGGTTAACCAAATTGGATCCGTCACTGAGAGTATTGAGGCTGTAAAAATGTCAAAACGTGCCGGTTGGGGAGTTATGGCTAGCCACCGAAGGTTTGGAAATTCTACCTTCTTTGGTTAATAGAAACATTTCAAATTGAAATTTTAGTGACTAATTGAATGGAGTTTTACTTGGTTGCAGTGGAGAGACAGAGGATACTTTCATTGCCGATCTCTCAGTCGGTTTGGCCACGGTATCTTTTCATTCTGCAATTAATCTCAGATCCTTCTTTTACATATCACAATCTTCAGTCAAATCTCTTCCATCCAACTATTCAATTCTCTACTTTCTGCCCAGGGTCAAATCAAAACTGGAGCTCCATGCAGATCAGAACGTCTTGCTAAATATAACCAGGTTGATATCATTGTCTATGGACAACCCCTTGGGTCAATGTCTGTGTTTAGATTTACATTAGCTTTGATCTTCATCAAATTCTGATTATGTCTCGTCTGCACAGCTGCTGCGTATTGAGGAGGAGCTTGGTTCGGCAGCAGTCTACGCCGGAGCAAAGTTCCGCAAGCCCGTTGAACCCTACTAGATCACGCCCGATGAGCGGCAGCTTGTTGATCCATCTCGGTAATGCAGTGAATAAGTGTTGCGAGAATGGTTGTGTTGTCGAACTCAGAGATCCCTTTTTCCCCCAAATAATTTCAGAAAAGTTTTGTTCTGAGAGGTTGAACCCGAGAAGTTTTTCTAGAAAGACATGATATGTCATGATTTAGTTACATTGCTGTGATTGAAATGCTTTGCTGCAATGAATGAGTGCCTTTTGTTTACCTCTTTATGAGATGTGTTTCTGTCATTTACAGCGTTTTCTCTTCATATCTTTCGTTTTGCTGAGAGCTATTTTCCTGTGTTATTTATAATGGCATTACAGAATATTTCAAGTAAAACACTTCACAAATCGCATGTTTTCTGCATGCATACATGAAATAGGAGAAAAAAAAACAGCTCCACATTTTGCAATTATGCGGTAAATACATTCTTTTACCGGATAAAATTGTGTTTTTATTTATTCATCAACTTATCCTTTCTCCTAGGTATAAAAATGTCTAGGTTTTCCTTAATGCCTGTACTCGGGAAAAAAAAAATCCTTATGCCTGCTGGTCATTTTCAAGTTCATAAATTCAAAGGTTGATTGGATAGATAAATTAGGAATTATGAAATAACATATTGACTCAATGTTTGAGAAAACATGTGAACTAATTAAATTTATATAAAGTAAAAATATTGAAATAATATCAGTGAAACTGAATTTTTTTTATTACAATGAAACTGATTTATAAGTAACAATATACACACACATATATAAATATTACATTTGGTAACAAAATAAAATTAATAAATAAAACAAATGCAATTCTTAAAGTTCGCAACATTCTACATGGTATATTGTTTTTAATTTCCAAGCATCAAATACATGGGCATATGAATTTCTTCCAAGAATCCTAAAATTTCTATTTCATTGAATAGAACATTGAATTTGAGTAATTCATAAGATTATGACTCTTCTAAAAAATCAAAATAGATAATCATTTATTTTTTGATTTTCTGTTTTTAAGTTAAAATAAGTTTTTTTTTCCTCTTTCTCTTTAAGGCTTTCAAAATCTAAACCAAAATCTGAAAGCTAAAACAAATAATTTTTAAAAATTTGTTTTGTTTTTGGAATTTGAATCTTTCGTTTTTGAGGAGGTGAAAAACATGTCAAAAATTTGAGAGAAATCAAGTATAATTTTTAAAAATATAAAAAATAAAATAAAATAGTTATTAAACGAGACAATGAATTAGTCACTAAACTCATAGATTCAGCTACTGCTAGAATACTCAAATGTAGCTACTCAAAAGTTATATTTTCTAAATGAAAATAATTACTTAAATATGTTATTTGTTACCGTATGAAATTATAGAAATTCTAAGTGGAGATGCTTAACCACAGGCACAAGCGATCCCCATTATAGTAAATACAAAATGAAAATGGTCCGTTAGAAGTTTGTTTGTTCTCCATGATAAACAATAATACAACAATCGATAAGTAAGGACATTATGAACGATATCACTCATAAAATCTACAAAATTTGATAAATGATTGGATGATATAACTTTATCTTTATTTTTTTTACAAGTTTATCAAAGATATTTATGTTTTATATTAGTAATATGTGTTTAAAATAAGAAATAAATATTTAATCGGACAATTATCAAAGATATTTACGTTTTATATGTGTTTTTAATTATGAAGGAAAAAAAAGTTTATGCAGGCTGTGGGGTTCGAACCCACGCGCACTTATGTGCAGAAGATCTTAAGTCTTCCCCCTTAACCTCTCGGGCAAACCTGCTAGTTGTTCAAAGCAATCAAGATTTGTGTATCAATACTATTGCTTTCCAGTTCAAAAACCTAATCGATAAAATCAGGTCAAGAGGAGAAGGGAGAAGCAGAAATTTGCCGGTCTCGAGCAGAAGAAAATGGCGGAACACTTGGCTTCAATTTTCGGAACGGAGAAGGATAGGGTTAACTGTCCCTTTTACTTCAAGATCGGAGCCTGCAGACATGGAGATCGGTGCTCCAGGCTTCACACTAAGCCCAGCATCAGCCCCACACTTCTCCTCTCTAATATGTACCAGAGACCTGACATGATCACCCCCGGTGTCGACCCTCAGGGCCAAGCCCTTGATCCCCGCAAGGTCCAAGATCACTTCGAGGTCTCCACTCTCCCTGCTTTGATTTACATTTGTTTTTCCGAATCAGAAACCTCGTTTTCCCCAATCTTCCGTCTTTGCAATGCTGAAACAGCTTTCTCTCTTTCCTTTTTGCATCTGTAATGCAGGACTTTTATGAAGATCTATTCGAGGAGCTTAGCAAATACGGGGATCTTGAAAGCTTGAATATCTGTGATAATTTGGCGGACCATATGGTATAGTATATTTACATCTGCTTTTTAGATTTCGGACTATTTATTTGGACCTGCGTTACTCACTAGTTTGGTTTTAACTCCGTGGTTAGGTCGGCAATGTCTACGTTCAGTTTAGAGAAGAAGAACAAGCTGCAAACGCGCTTCAGAATCTTAATGGACGCTTTTATGCAGGTTTTTATGTCGAACAGTTCATTCTAATTCTTTTTGTTCTTGTCCATTTTCTTTTACGATAGAATCAAACCTGTGGGTGGTATATGAGTACTCTTGGGGTAGCGCAGGTGCGATGAATATTCCTGAATGTGACACTGGCGAATTCGTTCTAATTAAATAATTCTAATATAAATTTAGTGAAGTATATTTTAGATTATTGGTTAAAATTCAAGGATTTATCTCTTGTACTTTTCATATCTGGGAATCTTTTTTTAATCATATCTTCTGGCTTATCACTAGTCTAACTGTTAGATGAGGAAATAATATTTTTAGAAGCTCCATGTACACCGGTTGGTTGATTCAATGCTGAGAATGTAGTTATCTGTGTTTGAGCTCGATTACAAAATTTGCAATTTTGGAAATCCATAATGACCTTGCGAGTTTGGTTTGGAGGTTTGATGATGGAGTTTTCCCCAAGGTGAACTGTAGAAACTTAGGCTAAATAACTTCATCAATGGTTGCTACACACTCTTCAGTCTTCATTATTTGTTTGTGCCTAAGAAAGATTTGATATGTTGTTACCTGGCCTTATTTGTCAAATTTGTAACAGGCCGACCCATCATTGTTGACTTTTCTCCTGTGACGGATTTTCGAGAAGCTACTTGTAGGCAATATGAGGAAAATGTATGTAATCGTGGTGGTTATTGCAACTTTATGCATCTGAAGAAGATAAGCAGGTAATATCATCAACATGTTTCATTTGTTCCCCCTGAGGAAGCATTGGTTACCTACTGATAATATGTTATTTGTTGTAATTTTCCATGTGCTTTTAGAGAGTTGAGACGACGTTTATTTGGGAGGAGCAGGCGCAGGCGTAGCCGAAGCCGGAGTCAAAGTCGAAGCCCCCATAGGCATCATGGATATGATGACCGTCCACACGGTGGTCGTGGACGAGGACCTGGTAGAAGAGATGGAGACAAGGACCCCCGGTACCATGATAGAAGCAGGAGGCCTAGAAGCCGTAGCCCTAGGCATAGAGGGGGACGGAGTAGGAGCCCTGGAGGGAGGAGGAATAGAAGTCCGGTTAGGGAAAGTAGTGCTGAAAGAAGGGCTAAGATCGAACAATGGAACAGGGACCGGGAAAAGGTAGATAACGTTAGTCATCAGGATGTCAAGGATGATGGTGGAAGCAATGGCCTTGTACAAGATGAAGATGAATTTGATCCTTCTAAGCAGTATTAGAGAAAATGGTGGACGCTGTTGCTTGCCTGAAAGAAACATTACTGGTTTGCTACTGTCCTTTAATTGGTTCAATATAGGGGCCATAGTAGAATGCTTTCCTTTTTATAAAACAACCCATATTCGTAAAAGAAGTAGCTCACTGCCCATTTCCACTGTGCAGGTGGAGGACAGGTTCACTGTCACGTGTTATTGAATGTGAATTCCAGTTTTGTTAACCTTCTCCTTCACCCTAAAAAAGAAAATAAATAGAAAAGAAATAGTCGTTAGTGACTAACCCTTTGGCAAATTCTACAATTATCCATACGATTGTTAAATCGGTCACAGCCATTCATATTCAATGTCCTTTTTGTCTTGTCATTGTTCCTCGGTTGTAAACTCTACCCATGTTCACCGTAGTCACAAGTGCATTTGCCCCATGTTTATGGTAATTACGGGATAAAATAAAACCTGATATCAGCTAAAATTAGGACGTGTATATGTAGAGCTTAACCTGCACAAGTCTTGAGGAAAGGTCTTTTACAAACCTTTCCCTTCATTTCCTTTGTTTTCTTTAGAACCTTCCTGTAGATCACCTTTACAGTGAAGAGGAATATCAAAATGTTAGAACCAATCTTCCTGGTCACCACTTTCTTAATTATTCAGGTGATTCTACGAAAAGATACGTCTGTACACATAAAATTATTCTCTATCCTTCTAAATTGATTCGTCCAAATGGTGTGTCCTCAAGTCTGTTATCTTAAGTTCTGATCAACTTTTTTAATCTAGTATTTTCTCAAAATTTTCAACTAGTTTTAGACAGATTCATTAATGAAGCAGAAGTCAAGCTTGTTGTCGGTCTAATTGAATGTTAATGTTCCTGTCCATGCTCTCTTCTTACCAGGAAAAATGAAATTAGAAGCCCTTGTGGTTATGGAATTCTATAACTCGTATATTGGAATATTCTTTTATATTTCTTACATATGTTGCGAGTTTTGCAGGTTCAGGTTTTCCTGCTTGCCCAAATACTTCTTAGGCAGCTTACCATCGTATTCATAATACAGGTTTGGCTGTTGTCTGGAGGATTTGCAGGGATTTGATGTGATGTTTCGTTGGAAACATGAAGGAAGCTTCTCTCTACATCTTCTTCTGTAATGCTGAAAAATGTCTTTCCTGGTTAGATTGATTTTCCCTATTCAACAATCGAGTAAGTTTAAGGATTTCTGAGACAGAAGTATGTGTAATGTCGCTTATCTTGCATTATTGTATTGACCTTTTCAGAGATAAATGTTATGGAGCTGCCATTCAAAGTAGTTTAGTTTGCTTTGCTTGGCTTGATATTTTAGACTTCTCATTTTGCTTGTATTGTCATTGACTCGAGTCTGAGCTCTAATGTAATGTTTTATTTTGGATGGGACATATCAATTCACTTTTACCTTGACTTTACAATTATGTGACTGGACATCGATGACATACGATCTCCAAAAAATTGCACATTTTACATTAACTAAATATTTGATGTACATCGTTATAAAATTTAATCAATTGTTGAAAGTTCCATTTCACAACAATTTGTTCTTAAAAATCGTGCTTGTTTATAATTTTTTAAAAATATTCATCTTTCTTCTTAAAGCAGATCCAATGTTCATTTGTTTCATGTTGTCGTTGATATTAAAATTTTGAACTCGCACCCATTGCATTTTTTCTCTCTTTCGTGAGTTCAAACAAGGGTGAGAGGAGGGATTTGAACCTTTGATCTAAATTGAGTTATATTTATTTTTATCTCAAAATTGTTCAAGTGAAAATAGTGAAAATAAAAGAAAATAATAAAAAAATGTGATTGACTGTACAAAGACGAACTTCTCAATTGAATGAAGCTCTCAACTTTTTGTTTAATAGACATATCTAGTATGATATAAGAAGATACCTAAAAAACAATAATAATAGTAAAGAAATCAATGTAGTTACACAACCATCCTATATTGTACTATTTCTCGTCTCAATTTCCCTTTTCATTATTGGTTTCATATAAAGACCCAAGAAATCCTATTTCTTGGGGAAAAAACTATGATTGGATTTATTTTGACAGGAGCTATTAGTAAGAAAACAACTTCAAYAAAAAAAAAAACTTATAAACTCATTGATGTCATGTTATATGCAATAAACTTGCTGGTATTTTGTGGGGTGAAACAACAAATTCTGTTGAACTAAACCCAAAAAAACTGACATTAAGTATACTATTCTCAGTCTTCTCGGTTCTCCCCGGACTTGTAGGTCTTGACACAAGGTTAGAATTCTGAACTCTTTCAGAGTGATTGCTCGGAGGTCTTCTTCACCCTCTACCTAAACTGCGCAGAGAAGGTCCAAGACCAATTCCRTGGAAAAATGAAGCTTCACAAGAATGATTTTTTTAAGGAGGTTAATGACACGGGGACTCCCAATTACTTGACTGGAAAACGTGCATATTTAAGGATGTTCATGATTGATGAGGGATTCATTTAGACTTTATAATAGAAGTATTGGGCTTAAACTGTTGCTGTCCATTAAATTTCTTATAAACTTAATCTCTTACCATTTTACTAATTTTCGTACAACAGGTTTTTGTCAGATAAACAATAAAAACGCAAAATTACTTTTTTTAATGTTGTTTGCCAACATATTTAGTATTATAAAGTCAGTAAAAAAAGTTAATAAATGTCATGTAGGCATATGCGATTGCTACTGCAAAACCAACCAAAATTATTAGCAATTGCAATTGGAAGTTCTAAAACGGTAAAATTCCTAAAATGTACAACTTACCCAAAATTAAAACTCATTCAATAAGTATACTTTGATTCAACGCATAATAAATATAGCAGGAAGTCAACAGAAACCTACCCAAACACAAGTAAAAATTTTACTTCTTGTTCGTACTGCAATTTTGTTTTTAAAAATTATTTTAGTGTCGATTTTTCAATAGGCATGAATGAAAGAATTATCTATACTCTCTCTCGTGGTATCAAAATATTTTTGTTATAAGAGATGAAAAGAAAAAAATCAAATAGCTTTGTCTCCTCGGCGGCAACAATTTTCTAATTTTCACCGTCATATCATATGATACGAGCCGCCATGGTATGAACTTATCTTCGTTTTTTTGTTCCAAGTTTCAACGCCATTTATAGGAAATAAGTAAAAATAATAAATAAATAAAAACTTGCAACTTGCGGTGTTGTATAAATTATAATTATGGTCTTTATTTAGTGTGTGTTTTCTGTCTCTTATCATTTAATAAATTCTGAATGTTTGACTAAAATGTTGTCCATAATCAACCATTGACTGAAAAGATATTTCTTATTTTTCATTCCCCTTTTTTAGATCAATGCGATGTAATGTTATTTTCTTTCTTTGTACAAGATTGTTATTGGCTAAAAAAACCATTTACATAAATAGCATAAAATATGTATTTTCAACTATATCATAAAATATTATTTAAATTCAAATTTAAATATAAAGAAATCATATTTAAATGTTTTATTAAAACTATGTTATCTAGTGAAATTTCTGATTAATAAAAAAAATAAAAAATCACATACACCTGTAAAAACACACTTGTGTTACTTTTTAAGAGTGTAAGAATAAACGAGTCTAATGTTCTTTTTTATTGTAGAATCAAATATCTTGAAATTTTGATTTTGATTTCGTATGGTCTAAGTTAACTTTTGATTAGAGGGTGAGTTTAAGAAGGAAAAAAACCACACTCCTTTTTAAAAATACCAAAAAGTTGGTGATCAAATAAATTAATTAGATTGATAATTAGGCAAGTGGATATGAAATTTGTCTTTACATTTTCCCGATATATTTTAATGAAAAATATTATTTTTTCTCGATCTGATATCAAGACATTAGAAATTAATGTATTGTTTATATTTTTCAATGGGAGGAATCTTATTTAACAATTTAATTCAAAATAATAGTAAATCTAATTCAAGCT